CCGAACACCACGATGCCGTCGTCTCTGTGTCTGCCAGCTCGGCGGTGCTGGCAATACTGGTGGTCAGGCTGGTCTGCGAGAGCGCCCCTCCGGACGCCCTTCTCCGCCGCAGCTGCCGCACCTGGTCCAGCAGGGTGGCCGCGCCGCCGGCACCCTCGGCGCTCACCAGAGGCGAGCTCGCCGACCGGTTCAGTGACCGCGTGCCGCGCTCCGGCTCGGTGAAGAGGTCCGTCAGAGGCGGTCGCCGGTCGGAGGCGCTGGCGTCCAGGCGCGGCAGCGAGCGGTTGTAGCCGCGGTCGGGCACCAGGGCGTCGTCCAGCATGTCCATGTCGTCGCCTGCGGTGATGTCGCCGTCCTGCAGGCCCTCGAAGTAGCGCCGGATGGCGTCCAGCTTCGCCTGATGATCGCCGTCTTCAAGTTCGTCCAGAGCGCGGGATGAGAGAGCTCGCTCCTCTAGGGTGACGTATTCGGACGATGCAGGCGGTGAGTCGTGACCGGTGGGTCCTTGGGGTGAGAGTGACCCTTCAGGCTGTCTTGAGACACTCGGACTACGCTCTTTCGCCGGGGCGGAGTCCACGGCGTCTTCACCCTTGTCAGCCTTCTCTGGCTGTGTAGAGTGGCAGCGCTGCGACTCCGCTCTTTGACTGAGTCCGGCGCAGCGGAAAGCCCGGCTCTGGGTGACGCAGACGAGGTTCCATTGAGCCCCACCGTACTTCGGCTGCGATGTTTGATCGATCCGGAGTCTACGGCGTCCCAGGAAGGCTTCTCATCGCCTTCTCGGTGGTTCAGGTTGACTGTGCTACGACTACGCTCCTTCACAGACTCTGGGGCGACCGACAGCTCAGCTCCGAGCCCACCCGATGGCGCTCGGTGAAGGGCAGCAGTGCTGCGACTGCGTTCTTTCAGAGTTGGCTCCTCCAGACGACTGCTTCGGCCCGTCGTCGAAGGCGCAGTCACGTTCATCATGCTCTTGAAGCGGCGGGAGTCCCGGAGCGTTTCGTCTCGTCCCGGTGCCCTGGCTGCTGCTGCGTCCATCTGCTCAAACATGGCGCGAAGGCGACCGACTTTGCCCGGCTCGGCTACCGGCTGTTTCACTGTGGGGTGGGAGGGGGATAGGTTAGCAGACGCTGGCACCCTCCATCCGGCCTTGATCAGCAATGAACAGGGTGCACTCCATGAGGGAAGAGAGCAATAAGATCAATTATCGTTAAACTATGTGTATCATTAGGTGAAAAAAGAGCACGAAACAGCCGGTAAAACCTTATACATTGTCAAAATTGATAAGTAGTTAGGAAAGCATTGGCCAAATTAGATAGTAGATACACGCGATAAATGGTTACATAATGCAGATAGAAACTGCCGATCTCATCCCATTAGGGCGTGCATCAATGTGACATATTTAGTCAGCAGTTACCTGTTATCTGACTACAATGATCAGCAGCTTTTTCTATCAAGTCAGCTCCATAGCCAGATAGGCCGGTACTTTACGTAATTGGCTATTGATACACTTTTTAACCCCCGTATTGAAATACCCACCTTTGGACACGATGTCTGTGGTGCTTCCAAGAAGCTTTTGTTTTCGCTCCTCTAAGTTGGCATTATGTGGCGGCGTCACCTTCCGAAGCTCTTTATGCGCTGCTGAGCTACCGTTTTCATACGCTAGCCGCTTTTTCTTCACATCAGCTAGTGGAGGCTGGGAATGTAAGTGAGGCACCGTGGATTTATCGACCTCTTTGCTCCTGCCGTTCCAATGAAAGCTCTTCTCCCCGTCGCCTATGTCCGGTGTTAGATCTCTCAGCTCTGGCAGGTAGGTGAGACTGCTGTCGTCCTCACTGTTCCTGACACACCGCAGGGCCACCAGCTCCTGACGAGCGTTCGGTGGTGACCTCGGTGTCAGGTACACGGTGGTCTTCGACCCCAGGTCACTCTCCGCGGTGTTCTTCCTGACACTTTCCGGAGATTGGGGCGGTGGCATGATGGTGTAGTTCTCCAAGTTGAGCCACTTCCTGTCCGTCTGCCTCGGAGGGTAACTCGGGTCTCGGAGCCATGCAAGTGCGCCTCGTTCGGTCGAATGATGCATGTGATGTTGAACTTCCCCACCTGACGATCGACCGACGCTCTCCTCCACACCGCTGGCACCGGCTCCCGGACAAAGGCCGGCAGCGACTCACTTAGGGTGTCCTCCGGACGCATAAGATCCGGGCAAGTGTTGTCCGCGTCACCATCTTTCTCCACTGGGCTTGGCAACTCGGGGTCAATGTAACAGAGAGAAGCCTGGTACGTTTCGTCCTCCGTCTTATCGCGTATGGTCTTCTCGCTGGGCTTGTCCAGGTCTTCGCTGTTCTTCTCGACTTTGCTTTGATTGTCATCGATCGGGAGTTCTGGCACGACATTGACTAGAATGGCCTCAAAGGCACCTTCAACGCCACTCACAGGTGGCTGCTCGGACACGTTTGTGTCGACACATGGCTCATCTTCGATCAGTCGAGCGGGCTCTGCACGAACGATCCCAGCCTCCTCTTTGGCGATCACTTGAGGTGCCTCAACAGAGGACGATCCTGAGGGAGCGTCTTCTGGCTTCGTGGCAGTCTCCGGGTCACTCTGCTTGGCGTTGCTCGCAGCTTCGGGTTGTTGCGGCTCTGAATGCAACTCTTGGAGTCTTTTGACACATCAGCTGTTGGAGTCGGATACAAGCCCGCACTGATGGCGGAGTCCCACATGTTCACCCACTCCGACACAGGCTGGCCACGCTCGCCCTCTACTGGCTCCTCCTTACTGATCGTTTCTGGCGTTGGGCCATGGAGGTTTGATGACTCGTGTTGGGTTAATTCGGGGTCACGTGTCTTCTCGTTAACGATGTGCGGTGCAGCCTGTGTTTCGTCTACCGTTTCCGGTACGATAACCCAATCTTCTAAACCGTTTTGATCAGAAGTAGGCAAGGCATCGTCTTTCATTTGATCAGCGTCGTTTTTGCCGTCTATGCTCTCATGAATGGCGCTTGATGGGGCATTTCGATCAAGACTACCTATCTCACTGTCCTCAAGTACTTTTTCGACGATTTCCAGAATTTCTTCATCGCGCGACGTTTGTAGGGGTAATCTGGACGTTGGTGGTGGCGCCAATGGCAGCTTTGGATGAGGCTCATCCGTAGCTTCTTTTACGTCAGGAACAGACGACACATCCTTCCTCTTCTTCGCCTCATTTTCTGAGTCCGATGATCTTGAATCGGATGAACTTGAATCACTAGACTTAGATGATTCTGATGTTTTGTGGGGTCTCGATGGATGTCCTTTTTCACTTCCACTTGTCTTAGCTTGGGAGCCCTCTTTATCTGAGCTCGAGGATACACTACTCCCACTTCTGTTCACCTTTTCCTTCTTTTCGGTTGACTTTTTGACTTCGGTGTCATCTGATGAAGACCCATGTGATTTTTTCTTTCTACGATCATGTGTATGTGAGTTTTTCACATCGTCTTCTGAGGACGAAGAGCTAGAGCTGGTGGATGATGATGACTTGGATGCTTCCTTCTCCGGCTTAGCATTCTCATCACTCGACGATGAAGATGATGAAGAGCTCGTCCCGCTAGAGCTGCTCGTTTTCGTTGGCTTTCTTTTGTCTTTCAGGTCAGGCGCAGTTTCTTCCTTATCGCTGCTCGATGGTTTCCTTCCCTCCTTTTCAACGGAATTTCTACGATGGGATTTGGTAGCGCCTTCGTCAGAACTTGAGTCACTAGAAGTACTAATAGCAACTTTGTCGCCGACTTCTGCAGTTGCCAACGTATCACTTTTTCTATGCTGCCTCTTTTCGTGTGAATCGCTGGAACTTGACGAGCTCGAACGTTTCTGTTTTTCTTTTTTTACTGCAACTGGTTGTTTTGAAGCACTGTCCTTTCGCTTATCTATCTTATGTTTCCTAGCGCTGCTATCAGAGGACGAGCTGGAACTTTTCCTGGACGTCTTTCTCCTTTTTCGGTTTTCATCAGAATCAGATGATGAGCTGGTGCTGCTAGACGAGGCTCTACTTTTTCGTTCGGTTTCTTTTTTGGGCGTCTTCTTCTCTTTCTCACAATCTTGAGATTTATCGGTTTTGGCTTTGTTTTCTTCTGAATCCGAAGACGAGCTTGAGCTACTGGAGACAGCAGCGGGGGAATGTTTTTCGTCCATTGCTGATAAGTGTTGTTCCAATGAAACCTCGACGACATTGTCTCCAACTGGCAAGCTCTCCATCTCTTTGTTTCCTTGGTTGACATTTGTCAACGTTTCTGGCACGATTAGTTCAGCTACCTTAGGAGGCTTCTCTTCCTTCATGACATCAGTGACATTTTCCATGTTCTCAAGAACCTCGGAGGGAATTCCAGATGGCGGCAATGCTGTTCTTACTTCAACCAAACAAGGCAAGACAGCTGACGTCACTTCGACCTGTGGCCGTATCCGTGTTCTTTGCTGGCCGACAGACGACTTACTGCGTTCTTGCATGTCTTGTAGTCGGTATCGTGAATCACGAGGTGTTTCAAAGTTGGAGTATTGGTCACTATACTTTCTGCTTGGCTTGGTTGAAGCTGGCAGAGAAGATGGTGCTGCTGGTTTCAAACTTTCTTGTGTCTCTGTTTTGTTGTCAAAACTTTCTGCAATAGTTTTTGGCGTTTCCGACAGACACTCTGGACTTTGGAACAATGAAATTTCCTCTTTCGGAACAGAAACAGGAAGCTGACTGATGTCATCAAGAGGTGTCGGGATGTGCTGGGGAGTTTGGTCAAGCTCGGACTTTGTCACCTCTGTAAGGATTTCTTCCTGACTTTCATTTTCATTTGGGACAATTTTCGTAACCAGGATAGCAAGGGAATCATCTTGGCTTTCGGGAACACTATTCCGCTCCCCTTCATCACAAGAGGAAGCTACCTCTACAGTGGTGCGCTCTTTCTTTCCGAAGGTCCCATCGTCAATGCCGTTTTCAGCTTCCATTTCAGCGTTTACGACTTCAGTCGCAGGAGGTGACTGTCTCTCAACAGCTTGAGTCGGTTCTACTTTGTCGATGCCAATTATTACCTCGTGCGCTTCTTGGTCTTCAGAATCTGAAGAAGGGAATTCCTCCGCAACTGCAAACTGGGAAGCCATGTGCGTCTCTAGCACGACAGAGGTCTCTGGTTCGGGACTTTTGCCAGATTCTCCAGCTGGTTTGTCGACTTCCTTCATGATATCAACTTCAATATCCAACGAGACAGTTGACGGTTCATCTTCCTGTTTCACCATGTCCTGCTTTTCATTATGCTCTGCACTATCCCTTCGGTGATCGTCAACGGACGATTCACTGGAGTGACTTGAGCTCGATGTGTTTGACACCGTTGGGTCTTCTGTCTTGACATCATTTTTCTTTTCATTGCTACCTTCTTTCTTCACTACGTTCTTGTCTTCGTGAGAGGCAGAACTAGGTTTTTCGGGAATGATGGCATCGCATAGGTCTTCGATGACATTAGGTGTCTTTTCTGGGCTGAGTTTTTCATCCTGCTCAGCAGATGTTTCACTGGAAGATGAAGAGCTAGATGCGCGAACAATTTTTTCATGTGCTGCTTCTGACGTTTTCGCTTTGATGGAGTCCTCAGAGTCGTCAGACGGACTGCTGGAGCTACTTGTGTCAGATGTCCTAGACTTCTTTCTCCATTGCTTTCCCGTTTGATCGTCTACGGCGAAGGTCGGAAGGTTTGTTTCTTTCGTTTGGTACTCATTGTCTGAAAAGGACTGGTTTGGTTCAGAGGTCTCTTTACTTTGCTGGGTCTCTTCTTCACTTTTTGGGGAGCTCGTTTCATTTGTACTGGGTAAGGGTGAATCTTGCATGTCATTCTTCCCCGCATCGACTTGCTGTTCCTCAGCGCTGTCTTCAAGCACTTCTGATTTGGGCATGGGAGCAGCAGGCTGATTCTCCGTCTTCTGTTCGTCGCACCTCACAATGACGTCTTCTTTCGATGTGGGCACTAGGTCAGATATCGGTGCATCCACGTTCATCTTTCCACCTTTTTCACCGTCACTGCCAGAAGAACTAGACTCACTGGAAGTAGACGAGCGCCGCTCCAGTGCATCGTCTTTTCCCAACGGCGCATTTTCTTGCGTTACATCAGTCACAATCTTCTCAACTATGACTGGGGAGTCTTGTATCTCTCCTTGTGTGGTGAGGTGCACTGGGCTACGTGACTCGTTCACGACATTGCTCACCAGACCAACTACATCGAAATCCAATTCTTGATCTACATCGATCGGTACTTCGACTTCATCTCCTGTCTTGTTTTCACCGAGGGAATCGCCCGGAGTGGTGTCTCGTATCACAGGTGTTTCGGTACATGTGCCGGTCTTCTGGGTCTCTTCTTGAACACCAATTTCCTCACTGATAGATGATGACTCAGAGTCTGATCTACCTTTCGATTTTGGTTCATCTGGTCGTATGTGAGCGCAACTGGGAAGGACAGTAACCGTCATTGGTCTTTCTTGCGTTTCAGCATCGTCTTCGACATCTGATCGTGACCGGACAAGCTGTTGGCCAAGGGATATGTCAACAGACACTTCGATGTTTTTGATGGCCTCTGTTTCAGGAGCAGTTTCTTGAGCACTGTCACCTGTCTCTGCAAGAATGTTGACTTTTACTTCCAAAGTTTCAGCGCTCGAAGGGACATACTTGTCTTTGACTTCGGTGTCGTTTTCAGCTGCTTTGTTTTCGCTGACATCACTTGTGGTCGCTAGCTCTAAGGAAGGTAATTTGACTTGACTCTCGATATCGTCAGCCACGCTGGAAGACGGTTGTTCATTGACGCAAACCTCTAACTTGATTTGGTTGCGATCGTCAGAAATATCGTCAGTGTGTGGCATGTCATCCTGCTTTTCAGTCATTGCTGCGTTTTCACGAGACCTATCCAACGGTTTTCCTTCATCTTCCGACGTGGAGCTTGAGATACTTGAAGACGATCTCAGCTTGACTTGCTCTTCCAGCATCGACTCTTTCTCAGCATTGCTTCCTTGACAAGCCGATTTGGTTTCACTGTGGCTTGACGTCCTGGCTGGTGATAGCTCTCTCTTCTTGCTTTTCTCCTTTTCATTTGCATAGTTCCCACATGTAACATTATCCTCTGCCGACGATGAACTGTCTTTTGAGTTTGCCGGCTTAGGTGATGTGTGCCTTTTTCTCGTTTCTTCATCTGAAGTTGAACTGGACCCTTTAGGACTCGCTGACTTCATATTGCTTTTGTCTTTCTTTGCGTCTTTTTGCTCAACACTGCTGTCATCGGAAGACGAACTTGAGCTACTCGAGGTGGCCTGTCCTGACTGAGCTTTCTTCTTTTGCGATGTGCTCTTATTTCTTTTGCTGCCATCTGAAGATGAACTGGAGCTTGCTGAGCGAGACGTGTTTTTCTTTTTCTTCAAGGCTTTGTTTTGAGCTTTGTCATCATCTGTAGACGAGCTAGAGCTAGTGGATGTCGTTGAGCTGGATTTTGACTTATTTTTCCGCTTCACCTCAGTTGTAGCAGCATTGTCATCTGAAGATGAACTGGAACTTTTAGAGCTCTGTTTTTTAAGCTTAGCCTTTTCCTCCTTCGAGAAGCCTTCCCGATCACTATCGGCATTTGAAGATGTGTCGGCACTTTCAGAGCACTTTGGTTTCACCGTCGCATTTCTTTGCTGCGTCGTGTTACCCTTACCTTCTCTGTCATCTGAGCATGAACTGGAGCTCCTGGAGGTTGCCCGCTTTGGCATTGCTTTGTCTTTCATTGAGCGCTTCTTGTCACATTTGCCTTCATCTGAGGACGAGCTACTGGAAGATTTAGAACTCGACTTTGCTTCTTCTTTCTTTGTCGCTGCTTCAACCGCAGCGTCCTTGTCATCTGAAGAAGAATTGGAGCTTCTAGAACTTCGAGATGTTGTCTTTCTCGAGTCCTTCTTCGGTAATTTCTTTTCAGTACTACTGTCATCTGAAGACGAACTTGAGGTACTGGAATCTGAAGTGTTTGGCCTATCTTTCTCTTCCTGGAGTGCTTCACCTTTCTTGTTGTTATCTGAAGATGAGGTGGAGCTTTTACGACTCTCAGGCTTTGACGCTGGTTTGTCTTCCTTTGATGCTTCCTTTTGGGAGCCGTTGTGGTCTAACGATGAGCCACTGCTACTAGATGACACCGATCGAGACTTTGACGCTCTTTTTTCGGATCCACTCGATGTTTTTGACCTTTCACTGACATCGTCTTTCTTTGAGGCTCCTTTCTCAGCACTGCTTTCATGTTTGTCGGTGTCCGAACTGCTAGAGCTGGTCTCCTTTTTCTTTTGCTGTAACTTTTCCGCCTTAGCCTTGCTGTCATCTGATGATGAGCTTGAGCTTCCGGAGCTTGTCAACTTTGGTTTTGCCTTGTCCTTCTTTCGACTTTGTTTAGTAACGCTGCTGTCATCTGATGAAGAACTAGAACCACTCGACCTCTTCCGCCTCTTCTTCTTTTTCTTCTTCTTGTTCTGTGATGCGTTCTTTGTTGCTTCGTTTTTGTCTGAAGATGATGTTGAGCTCTCAGAGCCCTCTGAATTAGATTTGGTCTTTTTCTTTGCACTGGTGTCTTCCAAAGGAACACAAGGGTGTCCTTGACCAGAAGCAGTTGATGATGGAACAGTCTTCTCTTTCTGTAACGCTTCATTAGCATCATCGCCTTCCGATGGTGAGCTGGATTCATCGTGGCCTACACGCTTTGGAATTCCCTCTTCTTTGTGCTCTTTGACAGCTCCGTCATTTGTGTCGAGCTTGGGTTCGTTCTTGTCATCAGACTTCACCGCTGCTTTCGAAGCACTGCTTTTCCCATCATCTGACGAGGAGCTAGACTCGTCCGAAGTTTTCTGTGACTTTTTTCTCTGACCGTCAGACATGTGAGCGGCTTCTTCATCCGAGTCAGAGCTGCTTGTTGACATAGACAGTATTATATTTTTCTGTAATAGCCTGCTTCGATCTATCACATGTGAGAGTGTTGCTTTGTCCTCAGACTGTTCTTCATTTGCTGGAGTCTCAACTGATGGCTGCCTGTTGCCGTTGGGCTGTTCAAATGGCTCGGCAGGTGTTTTGTCTGCTGCTGACTGAACATCTTTGTCGTTCATGGGGGTAATATTTGTATCACTCTGCAGTGGAAGTTGGCTCTCCGTCTGCTCTTCATTATCTTCGCATACCTTCTCGAGAACCTCAAGTTCTTTTTTTGATTCCGAGAGAGGTGCGTGAATCCAGTCAGCTGGCTCATCAATGGAATCCTGAATGACGAGCTTCGGATGCGGATCAAATTTTTCCTCTGTTTTTGAGTCCTCGGGCTTTACGACTGGAACTTCAATGACGTCGATTTTTTCAATGAAGCTGATCTTGCGATTCTTTTCGTGTTTCACGGCCGCCTCTGTTTTCTCATTGCTGTGATCACTCTGATCAAGAACTTTTTCATCAGGAAGCCTCTCTGCTGCAACAACTTGCACTGCAGCGACGTCGACAGCGGCAGCGGAATGCTTTTCTTCGTCTGAAACATCTTTGTCCAGTGCAAAGTTTAGAGGATGTTCGTTGCGCTCAATGCAAGAATCTTTAGGAACCGGACTTTCAAGGTCTCCGCTGCTACTTCTTGATCGAGAGTGTCGAAGTCTGCTCTCCTTTCGGGAAAGTTTGCGCTTTTGCTGAATTTTCACCTCTCTTTTCGATTCAGAGTTGGGAACGTCTGTGACGGCGACCAGCTCGTCGAACGTGTTGCGTCGATAGAGTGGCGGCGACGGTGTATACTCGTGCACGGGAGACATCGGCGTGAACAGCTCTTCGGCCTCTTCATCCGCTTCATCAGCCTCTGCGTTATCAAATGTGTCTGCCACCACCACACGCTCTTGCCAGCTGATCTTCCGAGACGGTTTTGGAGTTGTCGGTTTATCACTGTGAACTGGAATCGTATCCTTCCCTGTGTGATTGTCGTCCTGTGCGTTCACCGGAGAAACTTTGGTGGGCATGATCTGACTTTCAAGCGCCTCGTTCACCTGCCTCGCGAGAACTGGTTCGGTTTGATTTTCACTGTGTTGCGCTTCATGGTTGCTTGCGGGCTCAGCATTTACTGCCAATTCAGCTGAATTTTCACTGACATGGTTTATCTCTGGTTGCGAGTCCTTGTCATGAATTTGAACGTCTGGTATGTCATCTGGCGAGTCACTAGGCTCGGGTGATACTTGTGATGCATCTGGCATCACCACCTCCTCCACGTCCTCAGTCTTTTCCGCCGCAGATGCATTGATTTCGGCCAATTCGTTAGGCTTGCCGTCCGGATGATTTGGTTCGTTATGCTCGTTAGGTGTTTGTGCGGACTGGTCGGCGTCACCACCAGCGTCCACTGACGCCAGAGCCGCCTCCGCAGCCGACACCACTGCCGCCACCAGGGCGGCGGCCGTTTGTTCTAAACTACGCTGCTTTGGCTCTGACACCTGTCTGGGAGAGACAGCCGCTGCAGCTTCCGGAAATTCACCTGTCGGTATGGTGGTGGTGGTGGCGGCATCCTTTGAAGCTGCAGCGCCGGGACTTTCTGGCTCCGCTAACGGATCCTGCTCTGCATTCGGATCGGAGCTTACCTTGTCACCGGAATGGGGTGCGGGGGTTGGTAGGGTGTCTGGCTGATCAGACAGCTGTTCAATTGGTGTAGACGGCTTCCTGTCTTCATTTTGATTGTTTTCCTGATTCTCACTCTTTTCGCCTTCCTTCTGTTCTTCGAGAATAGGACTGTTGGGTGTGACGTTATCAGGGTGAACGTCATCAGCCGTTGGTACGAGCACGTCTACAGACATCTCCTGAACGGTGGAGAGAAGACGAAGAGGCGGCGTGCGGCGAGTAGGAGATGGTACTGCCTCAGTCCGTGCTGTAGCCTGGTTTGCTTCTATTACCTCTGTCAGCGGCTCTTTCATTTCTTCTTTCTCTTCTAGCTCTCTCACTTCTTTTGCTGCCGGCTCTCCTATTTCTTCAGGTGACTCTGTCGTGCTCCCTTCTGATGATTCTCCTTTTCCCTCTGCTGCTGAGCCCACGACGTCTTCTATCACTTCAGCAACCTCTGCGTCCACCACTGTTTTTTGCGATGCATTCAACGGGATTTGCTGCAGTGCCTTTTCAATTGTCTCGCTCACAATATTCTTTGCTCTTTCAACTACTTCTGTCGCTACCTCTGGTGCCTCCACCACTGATTCACTAGCTGCTTCATCCTCAGGCTCCTTTTCCTCCGCTACGAGCGGCTCACCGGCCGTCTCTACAGAACACTCCTCCAGTGGCTGTTCCACAGCTTCTGCAGCCGATATCTTGTCTGAATCCTTGACAGAATCTTCTACTACTTTCTCAGCCCTTTCATCTGCCGGCTCACTCTCAGACTGTGTCATCGACAGTTTCTGTACCTGTTCATCTAATGATGACTCAACTGTCTCGTCTTGTTCCTTCTCTTCTGGTCCAGCAGGGCCCTCGACTTCTTTTCCTGCTGCCTCAGTCGCTTCTTCCTCCGCCGCCTTCACAGCCGCTTCTGACACTTTCGCCTTCACTGCCTCTACCACTGCCTCTGCTACTGAGTCTGGCTCTGGCTGTTTGACCGTTTCTACTACAGTTGCCTTTATTTCCTTCTCCCGCTGGCTCGTCCGCTACCCTCTCCGAATGTTCCTTGCCATCCTCTATCACTGAATCCTTCACTGGTTTTTCTGAAAGCTCCTTTATTGGTTCTGTCACTGATTCCAGTCCGGCATCTACTAGCTTTTCCACTTCTTTGGCAACTTCTTCCTTCACTTCATCTTTCTCTGACTTCTTGTCTGAATCGTCCACTGTACCCTCTTCTTCCTCGTTCTCTCCCACGTACACCCTGAAGGGACTGCCCTCCACGTGCTGTCCACCGCTGACGATGCTGAGGGAGAGCCAGCCGGCCGCCGGCGGCTGGTACCACAGGTTCACCGTCCGGCCGGTCACCTGGTACCCCACCGGGATGTTGGACCTCGGCCGGCCGCTGCTGGAGACGGGCGCCGGCGCCTCGTCCTCCAGACTCCTGCGGGCCGGCGAGCGCGGCGTCAGTCGCTGACTGAAGTAGTCGCCCGTCTCGGAGCGCATCTCCACCAGCAGGTCGAGCCGGGCGGCCTGCGGCAGCCGGACAGCGAACTGCGCCGGCTGGCCGGTGTGGGCCGCCGTCAGACCGGTGCCAGCTGCCGCCGCTGGCGGCTCGGCCATGTCGGCGGGGGTCTCCGGAGGGTGTTCGGGCTCCCCTCGCCGTTCGGCGGCCTCGCGCAGGGCGGCCACGTAGGCAGCCAGTCGGTCCTCGTCGCACCCAGAGATGACGTCCGTCACGGTCAGCGTCTGCCGGCACACGGGCGGAGATGTGGGATTTTAATAACATGGCGACTGTTCTTGTTTGATCCCATGCTTACAAATCTTTTTTACATGTTTTGGGTTGATTCTGGGAGCGACTTCTATTGGGGTCGGATCAAAACTTGTGTAGCGTCAGATAAAAAAAAAAAAACAGTACATGATGCATGGAGTCCCTGACTGACATTGGATGTACAAAGGACGTTGTGCATAAATATTTTAAACTATTGTTGTGTCAGCTTCCTTATCATTCATTTTGAAAGTGATGATGGATGGCGAGTGCTATTGGGTGGCGAACAGCGTCATTGTTGATGGTAAAACTGCAGCATTGTGCAATTTGTTTCACGTTAATTGAGCTGTAATTGACCAGGCAGACCTTCTTGGGCACTGCTGTGTTGAAGGACTTCCCTGAGATTCGCTTGAATGATTAAATTGACTCGCAATCCTAATATTAAGAGCATATATTGTGATGGTAGTGCACCGTTTGTGCGTGATAGAGTGGTAAAATGGTGTGAGAAGTCGGTAGATGAGTGGTAGCAATCAGTAACAGATACGGGATACCTGAGAGTAGCTAGGTATAACTCGTTTAGTGAGGTACAATAACTTGCAAGCGGTCAGGAGTGATTTTTTACCCATTCACCATCCGATAATTCTTCCGAATGTGTGCAAAAAAGATAGTACGTAATTCGCACCGCATAGGACTGATTCTTTTTCATTCATTTTTCCCCAAATGGCACAGTTGTGCTCATTTACAACAGGACTGCTGCTCCTTCTCCATCCCTAGGTATAACGATAACGAATGACGTGACGAAACTAGATGCCCCTATTACGAAACCACTGCAAGATGCCGTTCACCCGAAAGCAAGTACATATAAAGTTATCTATTTGACTTGCAAAAGTGGACCCTATTGCCAATCATTACCTTTAGTTGTATTGCGCAACTGTACCTATGTCTTGAAATCCTTTTAGAATGCCTTCGAAAAGTATTCCTATTTACTTCCGTACATGAGCAGTAGACGACACTTCATGACTCGTTAATAACTTTTTATATAGCTGTCATGTTTTTTTTTAAAGAGATGAATGAAAATGATGAGTGGGTTGACTTTGAAATTTGAATTTCAACTTTACGGTTGAAAAAAGTTTGAATTTCTACATACAGTTTATATCACTATTGGCTCTTTAGATTGCTTGATTGATTAGATTGCTTTAGATTGCAATCACCTTGTATTGCTTTACTTGATTCAGTTGTCAGTCCGTCGATATCTGCAATTTTATACCGTCATTCTCTAGTACGCAGTAGTAAATCACGTACACAGGGCGGTGCGACGCCATGTCTCCCATTGGGCGGAGAAGCTTTACTGCAATTGGTTACATTACTAAAACTAATGGCTTCATAACGGGTGAATATTGCACATGCACCGATATCAGTTTCTCAGTGGATCCGTCTCGAATGGTTCTTTACGGCGGTACTGTCACAGAGGCGCACTAGCACAGCGGTCGACATATTTTAATGATTATACAGAGGTGGCCAATGACTTCTAGCAAGAAAACGAGACGATCACACTTGGTGGGATCCGAGAATCTACGACTCTCAGGTCACCGGAGCCTGCTGGCAGTGCTTTCAATTAAAAATGACGCTTTTCTTTCAAAATTATGCTTGCGATCAGATCCAGTAATCAGTATGGCACTGCCCAAGCATGAAATGCAACTGACACAGTTTGCTCTTGCGTGAAAGATATCTGTGGATTTCCTGAAAATAGCTACAAGAGACTGAAAATCCGCTGGATGGAGCAAATTACAATTACACTTAACAGCTATGTAGTTAGACTGTAGGCTCACTTCTGCTTCCCAGTAAGACACATTCGTATTCAATACGCGCACCAATTGATCTCGGTCCGTCAACACTCGTTACCTATTTCTGGCACACAATCCACCACCCTCTGCGCCCCTCTCACTGACTGCACTGCCCCTCGCGCTGCACCTACCGGCGGCTGGTGTAGCACATCACGTGCCCTTCTGAATGCCTCATTGACGTTGAGCACGGGCCGGTCTGCGGTGACCTCCGGCCGACCGGTGACACTCGGGTGGCCGGTTACCAGGCGGTCCACCAGGCGCCGAAGGGCCACGCCGTCCCGCCAGCCGGCGCCAAAGTCGTGCACGGGTTGGTCGGGCAGCTGAGTGCGTACCCACTCCAGCAGCTGGTGTCTGTCGCCACCCGGCTGATCTGTGAGGCGAGAGAAGGAAGACGGACCCGGTCAGAAAATGCTGTGGGTACGGGTAGTTATATTGAGAACGGTTACTTTGCCAGGTAAGACAGTCTTCGAAGGAGGTGCTATACGTATAGTCCACAGCAGAAGTAATGTGGGGTTTGAGTCATGGGTATGTTCTGCTTCTGAAGCTTAGGAATGATTAGCCAGACTACAATGCAACTTTGAATGTAGCTTATATGTATCGTCACCCTTGCAGCTGCAATTTTAGCTATTGACATCTTCTTTTCGATCACTCCGCATTAAACAATCGCCAGTCAAAGCCAATCGTTGAGATTGGTAAAACCCTACATTACTTAAGCGGTGGGCTGTACATGCCGCTATGAATCATGTTAGAGATCAAGCTTAAAAATTCATCGAATATAAAAGGTCCCCGAAAGCACGAGTACGGCATAATCTTTTAAGCACATCGGCTTCCTTCTGGAGACCGATACTGATATTGATAACCTTAGTTGACGTCATTTTTTACCTAAAGCGAAAGACGATAAATATATTTTCAACTGAACTTTTCACAAGTTTTCGAATGCTGTTGGTGTTCCCTTGCCACGTCATTTTGTCCGTTTTTATGTCTAAAGGGGGGGGGGGGCGAGAATTAATTATCTTCGTCATTCCAAACTTGGCTTAAAGCTGATCCTTCTGTGTGCTTTTTATTGCCTACATTTATCGTTAAGCCTCTTTATATTATATGTTGGCCATTTCTACAAAACTAACTATATGGATTCTTTCCCGCTCGGCTTACCATATCACCTTATCGTGAATATCTAGGAAAAGATGAATTTCCTGGAGACAAACATAGAAATTCACTGTGTATTCGTGGCCTCCCATCAAAGAGTATTCACATAATTGAATTAAATCAAACATTCTGAAGGATGAATTGCAAAAAAGTGCATAACAGGGTAAATATGCAGGGCACGCAAAGCGTTCGCTGCACCAAATCCAACAAAGCGAGCCGCTCGCAGAGACCGCAAGCACAAGGCCATTTCACATGGGTGCGATAATACCCGGTCTCCAGCTTCGCCCGTGCAATTGCAGTTGTACTGCCAGCGTGAACTGTTCAATGGCAGCGCGGTTAAGGAATTGAGACTCGTTTCCCGCGGAAACTTCCTCGTTTTGTAAGTGCCGGCCGAATGAAGTGCACTCAGCACCCCAACACTCGAGAGCACTTTGCTAAACTAAAAATGCGCTCGGCTACTTCATTCTCCGGTGTGTTCTCACCCGGGAATAGAACAAGTACCCGATACTCAGCGTGTTTGATGCTTTATCTGAATGACAGCAGTTAGTAAAACGTCACGTACTGGAGCGTTTTACCAATACAGAGACCATGCAATTTTTAGCGTCAAGCATTGGCTTTAACCCGGCCGGGCCCGGGGGGTAATCCCAACCACCGCAGCCCGGGGGGGAGGCGTTTTTCGCCCCCCCCCCCTGTCTAACTCCGTAAATAAGGGAGCTACGGAAACAAAAGCGATACCAAACGAAAGGTCCTTACGAGACGATTCTAAAGCACCTAAAATTGTTGACCTCAGGTCAATTTTCAAGGTCAGAGGTCAAGGTCAAAGGCAAAAACCGGTTTTGCCGGTCCCGTAGCTCAGTTGGTTAGAGCGTTGGACTCCGCGTGGTGAGAGCACGCGTTCCCGGTTATGACAGTCCGGGTTCGAAGCGCGACGGGCGCTCGACATTTATGGGCCTCCTGACAGGTATGGTTGCGGTTGGTGGCAGGCCGTAGCCAGGCGAAGTCAGTGAGGGGACCGGCCGTGCACGGCTTTGTGCGCACGTTAAACTTTGGACTCTAAATTCTGCCATAGAATCGGAATTGCGCGATCGGAGGGTAGAGGGCAGGGTCATCGCAACAAGCTTCGCTTAGCGGTGGCTCTGTCCTTGTGAATCCTTCCCATCAAAAGGTTCGGACTAAATTTATAAAAAAAAACGGCACATGTGTAGTGATCTCAAAGTAAGCCTTCTAGAGGACGGAAGGCTGCATCAAACCGGCAAAATTGGGTGTCAAACAAAAGAAGAGAATTTGAGGATTCCGAAACTGTGCTCAAAATCAAAGGTCAAGGTCAAGGTCACGCTCAAAATTGACCTCAAACTTGGCACTTTTTCGCACATCTTGCGTGCTAACTTCCAAGATGTTTTGAAATGTTTTGAGGCTTATCAGTTCCCTATTTGTGGTTCATCTTACATTACAAGGCTGCTCAAAGGTCAAGGTCACAGAAGAGTATCCCTGCTAGAGGCTATTTCACTAATTCAAGTTAGTTATAATAAATAAGACAATTTTGCCATCCGGAAGCTCTAAATGAAGGCTGAGAGGAAAATAGATGCCAGATTCGTGATCAGCGGATACAAATCCATCATAAACGACCTTTCATGTGTCAAGGTCAACCAGAGTTCATTCGAGGTCACATGAGGTCAACATAAAATTTGACCTTTTCCGAACAAAATATATATCATTCGACGCGGCTTGACAAGGAGAATGCGATGGTACCACTGCCGTAGCTCTAGGACCATTTTTGTCGAAGTTATTTGCGAAAAACTAAACCACATTTCGGGGTCGTTGACCTGACCTCTGACCTCAGGTCACCAAAACTATTTTTCTATTTTTCTCTAGGTCAAACGCTACACAACCGTGCTCGTAATTTGTCTTTATCTCTAAAACTCTATTTTTAGTAGCTATTTGAAGTTTGCGTCTGTGACGCCGAAGTTTGCCGTGCAGGGGTCTAGAAAAATGGACCTTGTGACGTCATCAAGGGAGCTAGGTCCAATTTTTTTACTTCAGAAGATGTCAAATTGATGGGAGAAAAGGTACTGAAAGTTTCGCTTTCCTATCCCTAAGCGTTCGGGAGCTATCGCAAATATTCGCCAGGGGGGGCGAAAAACGCCCCCCCCCCGGGCCCGCGAGGGTTAATAGTGAATGCTAGCTGTGCAGAACTGTGCTAGTAATCTGTTTGCATAAGTCGAAGCATATGTACATTTTTCTGCACTGCCGGTTAGAAAGCTAGGTATGCTACCTTAGTTTAGACATTGAGTGTTACGAAAATAAAGTGTTATAAAAATGATTTGCCCACCTATATAGAGCCCATATACCTATTCCTGGTTTAATTTGTTTTGCCGAGCCCACCTTCTCACTTATTGAAATTAAGCACCTTCTACGTTCCACGGCTACATGAGTAGTGAGTACAAGGCTTGTAATAGGCTCAAAGAAGCTAATCATGATTTCAATTCTGCAATTTCCTTTTTTGGCCACATAGAGCAGCATGTGTGCTTTAACCCGCGCCCCACTGGGGTCTGTGTATAACACGCCCTACTGGGGGGGGGGGGGGCTATTCATAGCCCCCCCTCCTAACTCCGAAACTACTGGGCCGATCGTCAAAATTCAAACGGCGTCTGATAGCCCCGGAAAAACTGTCGAGCGAAACCTAATTTCATTGACCTCGAGGTCACCGATGACGTCACAGGTCAGGTCAAAGTAAAAATTATTAGCACTTTGGCTTGTTCACATTTTGGGCTCTGGCCGCCGTCTTACAAGTCAGATCAGGCTCATTTTTGGTTTCCACACTCGTGAACAGATGCTCTAGATACCTTGAGGGTACCAAACTTGTACTTTGATTTTCAGGTCAGGGTCAGGTCATCACAGGTCACGAAAATATTATATCATGCGTCGGTCACGTGACACATGTTTTATGGTCCATTTAGGCCATAGATTTCGAATTTGATGTCGTCTGTGTCATTCAAGGTCATTTTGAGTCGAAATTAGCTTAGGTCAGGTCACTTTCAGGTCAAAAAAGGTCAAATTTTGAAGTTGAAATTTTTCAACAAAAAAGGTGTCTATTGGATGCAGTTTGAGCTCAGGAACACGATGGTGCCATTTATATTGGTGTACGATGCCAAATACGTACTGAAAAATTGATTTGAAAAATTAAAGGTAGTGTGCCACCTTTGAAAGATTTCCCATTTTATTTTTCCTAGGATAAGAAGCTTCTGTTTTTACCTAATATCGCAAAAAAATCAAAAATGGGCCTGGAATAGTGCCTTTTTCGCCTAAAAGTTTTTCGGTTTTTAGATATGTATAACAACTGTAGTGGGCTCACCTGCAAACAGGCGTCGGGCAACAATCGCGAATGCGGCGCACTTGTGACAATAAGCAAAGGTCATTATAGTGTTACGACCATACGACGTACGGGAATGAGTTATCAGCTGTCTAATCGTAGACAACACAATGTCGAGCCTTAAACTGTAAGCCCGTATTGTATTGTTTCTTTTATTTGGCTGTCGAACATTATTTATGGTTTGAAATATGATTTTATGTAAAATAATTGATATGAAAAAGCCGTCTTATAAGTTATGACCCCATTTCACCACACGCAAGTGGCAGAAATGACAATGATCAGCTGACGCATTTTTCTTGGCCGAAGTCAGAGCGCGCGGCCCGACGCACCACGCGTATTTGGAAATTCCGACCTCGACGAGCATCAGAAGCCACCTAACAGGCGTGTTCGAAACCGCAGGAGATGATGATGAACGGGTTTATCGAAACTTGATTGGATGAGCATATCGGTAATAGCGATTTCAGTGTGTGCATTTATTGTTCATAGTGGTGTGAAATGTGGTTGGGGTACGACCGACAACCCGTCGGGGCGAATTTCGCACTGGGGTACTCAAAATTTGAAGAATTTAAGACGTTTCCATGAGTTTTGAAGGTATGGATAAGTTCTAAAAATCCGGTTCTCCTTATCTGGGCCATTAACTCCATACGGTCCAAGAAAGCTGGCACACTACCTTTAATAATTGTGAATTTTTTGCAATAATGCGTATAACTTGGCCATTTTTGAAGATATTTAGCTAAAACTTGCTAGAGTTAGTCATAATCATGCGTCCTGTCACATATATTCCGGTTTTTTCGAAAAGTCAAAAACTTTATGAAAAAAATATAAAAATATAAATTTTGAATATTATTATATAAAATTTTCTAAATTTTCAAAATTTTGAAAATCCGAGATAGCAGTTTGATAGCGCGGTCAATTGTGAGTCCTTTCATGCAAAGAAATTGGATCTAGCTTAAAAACTGAGCTCTTGGGAGCGATTGCCGTGGTTCAATGTTTTGCGTCGAAATCGGACGAACATGACGTCACTCTGACGTCATTTCCGGCCGACCTATGGTTGCTACGAAGTTCAAATTTTGACACAAGGTGTCAAATTGATGCAGCCGAAGGTACTGAAAGTTTGGCGTCAATTCGTCAAGCGGTTTGGAAGTTATTGCAGAAAAACGGGAGGGGGGGCTATAAATAGCCCCCCCAGTGGGGCGCGGGTTAATTGTGTGCTCGTCAGATTACAGCCACGCTGCCAGCTGTAAGCAGACTTTGTCGCCGACTTTGCTCCTTCATGTTTATAATTGAACAGCACGAAGGCTCACAAGAAGGGAACAATAAACACAATGACAGTACTGCCGAGCTCGGTAGACGGTAACACTGGTGGGAGGAGTGGGAGGTTTACAAGATTTTCAGAGGCATGGGTAGCACTCCGGTGGCAGTGATTTTATGCGTTTATGGCGCATCCTTACCGAGCTGCTGGTTGCCAAACACGGCATTTTGGAGCGCGGAGAGCAGGTATTCGGCTGCCGAGAGCGCCCATACCGCCAAGCTGAGCAGCAGAGCCGCCACCAGCTCCACAACATCGCCGATGGCCATCCCCGCTGCCTGAAAACAGAGCGGGTATTTACAGCGTCGCCGCCGACATGCATCGGCTTTGGGTGTTACCAGTGAAGGGCGATATACAATATGCGCACATGCATGCATATAATACAAAATGATAAAATGAATGTGGATGGTTTTACTGCAGGATGTTTTTAGTCCGTGATTTCATAAGAGTATAGATGCCCTGTGGCTAGGACTAGGTGTGCTGATAAGGATAATATCCGGTTGAAGACGCATAAAGAAACCATATCGTATTGCATTATTAATCTTGCAACAACCTCAGAAATTGCATGCAGTAAAGGTATGCATTTCATAGTTAGCCCAATTTCTCCTACAGCGCTTGCAGAATTGCGAACCCCGGACCTTGCGTCGAACGGTAGCACTATTTTCGTTAGTTGCTATACCCAATAATTTATTATAAAAATTCTGCTCTGCTTATCGATGCGTGGTCGGTAAATGTCTTAGCCCACATCGTGTTCACATCGATATGCCTTTACATGATAAGATATTAATTCTGTAGTAAAAAAAAACTAGATGATATGGTTTAGATCATAGGAGTAGTTGTACGAGACAAAAAATCCATACTAAAAAGATCGAAACGAATCTCGATATCAATACGTCGGTCGCAAGTTACGGCAGCCTCTTAATTATTTCATAGTGCCTTTTTTAACGGCAGACGACTCAATTGCTTCTTCAAGAAACATTTTCCCGCCTACCCAGCAGTAAAATACTGATTACCAATCAAGAGCCATTGAACTTCTAACGAACGTATTTGAGACGTCATTTAGCCCATGTCCCACGCAAGCCATGCTGATAACAATAACGCTTCATTGCAGAATTACGTTAAGTTGCGACTCACGCTGTCAACATACAAAATAAATGAGAGGGTTGGCAGTGTTTGAGAAATAAATGCTTGCTTAAACTCGCTGTAAATAGTCTAACGCGTGCTGGTTTTGTATCATTCGTGTACCGATCTGTTTGTGATCTCTGGGTGACCGGACACTCTCTGCACCTCCGGGCGGCAGCCTCTCAGCCTGTGTCGATACACACTGAGGTGTCGGTGCGCCACTCGCCGGCGTTCCCGGCCGGCCGAGGTGCCTCCCCGTCGCCTTCGACGGCGTCGTCTCTCACCGAACGCCGACGGCCGGACAGGGCGGGCAGGGCGGGGGCGGGGGCGGGGGCGGGGGCGGCAGCCGGCCGCCCAATGCCGCTGAGTTAGCGGCCGGCCGGACCGAAGGCAGGGGAGGGGCTCTGCGCTGCGCGCTACGTCAGCGACCTGCCCACGCATCCCTCCGTCGTACTCGTATCTCCACCCGCCCCTGTTGCTCCTTTCCGGCCCTGATTTGTCGTGTCTTACGGACACTTCAATCTTCGGCGCCCTCACGCGAATGGACCCCCACGCGCCCACGCTATGTTCCGTGGTGGTGTTCAGAAGCAGACAGAAAGGTATTCAAAGTAGATGACTTGAATGAACTACACGCTAGACATGTGAGTAGATCAAAGTTACAAAAAAAATATAGGCTATCATTTACGGAGCAAAAACTGAAACCACGTTCCCTTTTTGCAACTTGAACTGGCATATTTGATCCCGTGCGTTGCATATAAAATGCATGAATTTATGACAAAGCCATTATGCGCTCTGAGTCGATACCACCTAGACACTGCCCTGGATACAGGGTAATCTCAGCATCCTACTTTCGCTCTGAGGAATAACCCTGCGATCATGCACCAATGTCATGTCCGGCGCTTGACACTGTCCAATTTCTAGGTCAGATCGTTCTAATTCATCCGAGTCTGGCCCTCCACGGGTGACGGATAGTCCCAATCGCGGGGCCACACTCCAGCACCGGGACGCCCGCGCAGGTCTCATCTCGGAGCCGGCGGGGGCGGCAACGATCGACTCTTCACGGAGGTTACTGGCCCCCGCGCCGGTTCTCGGATGTACGTCTATATTTCGATTTTCATTGTCTACCGATCGGAGAGGAGTGCGGGGAGGAGAGGAGAGGGAGGACGGTGGTGACGCTGGCTCCAGTGGTGGTCTGTCGGTTCGTTGATCTGGTCCTAAGTTGACCTTTTCGTTGACCTAAGCAAGATCTACAATAATCAAGCACAAAAAATATAAATAGTGATTGTGATGATAAGAATGATTATAGTTATAAGGAAATAATAAACAACACAATAAAATTGTTTCATTATTTTGTTAACGCTCGCCGGCCGAGGGCGCGGGGCGGGTGCCGCCCCCCTAGGTTTTTTTTTTCGCGATAGCTCCGAACACGCTGGCGATAGAAAGCTGAAACTTGGCATACCTGACCCTTGATTCAAGCCAGATCTTTTGACACCAACCGCATTTTTGGGTCAGGTCAGGTCACTGACCTATGACGTCATACGTGAACTTCTGCACGGTCTTCAGATGTCGCAACTTCGCAACGCCCTCACTGCCAGAGGAGATGTCACAGGGAAATGAAACTTGCAGGATCTAGTATCCATTATGAGTCTCACAACTTTTATATCTCGGATTTTTCCTAAAGGTCATATGAGGTCAGGTCATTTTCGTGACCTCACCGTTATAAGTCAATGGGGAAAAATGAAAACTGCTCTTCTGGCGCCGGAAACGATCTGAAACTATCTCAAGCACACATAATCGTGATTTGATGCACTCCTTGCAAGGTAAGATGCGTCACTTTTGCAATGTTGACCTTGCGTGACGTCATTTATGACGTCATCAAGGTCATATTAGTTTTTCGTCAACAACTCTTGATCAAATTGAGCTAGCGAGTCGGGAAAGCCACCAATGGACTCAGGAAGACCTGACAAATCGAATGATATGCGACATGACCTCTTTCGACCAGCTTCGTGACCTGGGGGTGCTGACCTGACCTTGACCTGAGGTCAACACCCTAAGTTGACCTGACCCGAACACAAAGTATATCATTCGACGCGCCTGAGGGAGGCAAACACGATTCTGCCAAAATCGCGGCTCTGCTGCCGTTTTTTGCGAAGTTATTCACCAAAAACGGAACCGTACCTTGGGGCACTTGACCTAACCTCAGAGGTCACCGGTTGACCTAGGACCTTAAAATCGGATACCAATCTCTGTGTCTCGTAACGGCGCACACGCTCGTTTTTTCTGCGACACGCTGGCTCCACCAGGGGCGAAACGGCGAAGGGGGGTCGTACCCGCCCCCTCCCTTGGCCTATGTATGTATGTAGAAAACCAATAGGTCCGGCGAGGGTTAATTATGTTGGTATTCTTACCACAATACATGTTATAATTATGTGCCATCATATTCAATGACGTAGGGAATGGTCAAATTGCAATCACCAATGAACATTTCTCCCAGGCATGGACTATATTGGAAACGGCTTTCTCTGAACATCTCCGTTAGGAGAATGCTTTCTCAGAGCGCGGAGAACTGAGCGGCTTCCCCTCTTCCAGTTCCATCACGGCCTCGACATGTCGGCGTCAAGTGAAGTTCATTTCACATGTGCTTCCCCATTTATCATTAATCCACCAGTGAGACCCTGTGGTTTAAATCGATATGATCCACCGACCACCCGCTCCAGACCGGCGCCGTGTCATTCGCCCAGTCAACTACCGTGGCTCGGTGCCGCTGGGAAATTGATCGGCCACTATGACACTGTGTTCACCACTGCGCACCTCATTATACCCAGTGTGTTCATGGCAGATAGTCCTCCGATCCCACCCAGTGGCTAATCTAACCCGCCTTCCGAGATTGACTATGTCAAGTGTATTGAAATCTTAGTGAGTTAAACTAGGGTGGCAATTATGGTGCTGGGGTCATGTCCCGTCTATACATCGAACGACATTGTGTTAGTGTTATTCACATATTGTTGTTAGTGGCTAATCTAACCCGCCTTCCGACCCCGTCCTGCCCTCTCCCCCCTCCCCCGGTCCGCCTACCGCGCAGCTTTGCCGGTGTTTGCCGTGAGATTTGCCGCCTACGTATCGTATCGAGTGTCGCCGCCGATGCCGATTAGATTACCGATGACCGTCCTCATTGGTCCGGCCGGCGCGTCTCAAAGCGATGGGAATGTGCCGGGAGGCATGGTAGGCGAACATCTAATGAACGAACGCTGCACGCGCATATTAACGAAACATTGGCTTCGATTTGAGACGGACCGTTGCAATTTCCGATCGTTATTAATGCACTTGCTCCGACTGGGACTGCGCGAATTTGTAAGGATCCGCCTGTCGTCGAACTTGTTCTTCTTTTTGCTACATGTGAGCCTTGATGACGTTTTCAGAAAAACAGCGTAGGGAAGATTGGGAGACAATTACGCCGAATAATTTTGCTTAGTAATTATCTAGTGGTGCATGGCTGAGGTATGCATTATGCAAGCTGTAAGTGTACTCATCTGTCGTTAATTCATGGTCCAAGTAGCGATATAGTTTATTGAATCAATAGCTGCAGTCATTTGTTGAAGGCCACGGAAGTGGTCAACTAGTTACAATTTCAAAATGGTGCAGTGAAGGAAAGATCATTGCAGTAACTTCGCGATCATTCCGGCATTTATCCATTATCCTCCTCATTTAAATGCGTCGAACATGATGAGTCAGTGCCAAGGTCAGCTACGCCTCTGGTCAGGCAAACTTCTATCTAATCTTCCATCACCTGTGAAGCATTTAAAACGTTCACGGCAGGGCTTACGGAGCCGGAAACAGCTCAAAGTCTGTTCTTTGCCTCGCGGGGCCAATCGTATCTCAGTTCAGACGCTGTTATCAGGTAGTGGCGAAAGCGATAGCACCGACATACCTGGATTAAGGTATCGCCCCTCTTGCCCCCCCCCCCCCCACCCCCAGGGCAGCCTTGGGACGCTGAGTCACACCCTATAGGGCTGCCCAGCCCACTCGGCATAGCCCTGGGGCCACTTGAACGCCGATCTGCGCCTTATAGTCTGCAGTGCGACGTGAGATACCGCCGTGGGGCGATTGAAGACTAGTTCAATTACAATATATCGCCCGTCTGTGTGCAATCGAGACAGTGTGATGACAGATTGCTCCCGTAGATTGTTGAGATGAATGAATGTAGCTGTTTGGATTAGCTGTCTACTAAGAGATGGTTAACGATTTAAGGGTTTATCAGGGTTTATTTAAGGGTAAGGATTTATTATGCTATGTTAGAAAACTTCTCATGCACATTTTTGGTAGTCATGAGCATTTAACAATGTTGTAGGTACTAGGTATGCATTGATACTGAACGCAATAGCCCAAAACAGAAAAGCAGATAACAGAAAACACAAAGGTGAACAGAAAAAAATAGGTAAAACAGAAAATGTGAAAATATACCGCTGAAACTAACAAAAGAAGTATAAGCAATTCGTAAATGCATTTTTTATGAATGGGATCAACGAGTAGTTTGCGTAGATTGCTCAGCTATCACTAAATTGTTGATGGCACAATTGCAATGCTTCAGTAAAGCTGTTGCCATTTCGAAAGTCCAGAATCAATATGTACCTACAGTTAAAATATCGTTTTAGGCAATAGCAAGCTTACTGAAATATAATTATTTGTTGAAGTTTTCCTTACTAAGACCGCACTAAAAATTAATATTACCTATCATGGCAAAATGAAATTAGTGCTAAGATTGCACTTGTAAATGCGGTCATCAACATATGAGTTATTTCCGATTTCTTCAGACAGCTGCATAATTTACACGTACCTAAATTGCCTTCTATTTTATTGTTTTTATCGATCATTAATTGTTCTAAGCATTTCATTTAAATTCCATTTATTACACTTTGGTTATTTGCTTCGTTGATAGGATTTTGGGGTAAGGAAGACATGTGCGTCATGACGTATTTCCTAAAGCTCCAACAAATTGAAATATCCTGACATTTCGGAGATGATAAAGCACACCCGCTAATTACCAGCCGATAATCACTAAACAGCTTTGCACCCCGGCACAATTATTGAACGAGACCACGTGCACTTTCACTTGGGTCATAGGTCGGCGTGCACCTTCCCAGCGTGGCTCGTAAAGCGCCATCGCTGGCCCACAAACCCAGTTGAGGGGCGACCTGGCCGCGTCAAGGACCCGCCGGACTGACCCGACGGCGGCGGGGCGGCCGCGCGACCCTCCGAGTTCACTGCCAAAGCCGGCGTCGATGGCGAGAGTGAATTCAGCGCAGCTGAGCCGATGGAGCATCGAGAGTGACAGGCAGTGATGCTCATGGAGCATCGGAGCTGATGAAATGTGACAAACTTAAGCGCTGTTCAGGAGATTGTATTACAATACGATGCACTGTGGCATATCATAACTGAAATCTATCTTTTCCAGTCTGTCCCATGACTATGGTTTTCTGAAGTTACCGGGAATCAGACTATGGTGCACCACACATGTAGAAAATTAAATCATCATAAACATGTTCATACATATACTAGAGATCAGAGTTATTAATATGCTCTGTGCTATCACCCATCCAAGCCTATCGGCAAGTCAAATGTGCTCACTGGAGGAGAATGCAAACGCACAGGCGGTCCATTGTTTCGCACTGTTTGCCTGCTGTTTGTCCGATAAGCGCTTCGGTGGGTTGGGCTTCTCTGTCAGCGTGCTGGCCGCCTGAATGACAGACTTCGACCGGCCGCCGCACCGTCTTCAGGGGATTTCAGTGTGCAGCTCTATCATTAAACGATAATGACCGCTGATGTAATCAGCGTGCAATGGGATCTAAATGAGTTTGAATTTAACCGATAAACCAGCTCAGCGAAAGAAGCCAGTCTAGAACGTAGTGAAAACAGTGTTTTGGGCAATACGTGTGCCGGGAATACCTAAACCGTATCGATCGCTGGTATTGCGTGGTGGACTACTTATGGGTAAGAGCTTGTGTGGGAAAGTATTTCCATTCTTGTTTTACATGGCTAATAAAAATTTCCTACAACTCTACGCATTTTATATATTCATGCTGTCCTTGTTATGCACCTCGAGCAAGCCATGAAAGCATTTGCAAAACCAGTTCTGTAGCAGGAGGGAAGCCATCACGATAGTTTTCATGTTAGTGGCATTTTTCAGCTCATTGTCCGTCCTATGCACGGCCAAACACGTGAGCAAAGCAGGGCAATGGTGGAATTCATGGCAGGATTCGTCTATGGTTCACACGAAGGTGTTATTCGTCTATCACGATGGCTGGCTGTTTGCACAGGACGCCAAACAGAAGTGACGGAAGTGAAAACGTTTTCTTCGAGCAAACGCTTTACAGTTTGCATTTCGAAATTCAGACTTCTGTTGAAATATTTACCAGTAAAACGCCTTTTGGGCGAAGGACGAGCGAGCGAGAGAGTGAGCCCTGCACGTGCAGAAGGGCGAGAGGGTACTTCCAACGGGCTTGTGCAAAGCACCCTTCTAACCGGTCGCTAGCGGTGTACCAAATTTGAACGCAATCGGCCCAGCCGTTCCTGAGATCTGGAAACGGCATTCTGCACGTGCGCACGTGCAAACGGGGTCCAAAATGACTTTTGCACGGCACCCTACTAACCGGTCCCCAACCGTGTACCAAATTTGAGCGCAATCGGCCTAGCCGTTCTCGAGATCTGGAAACGCCCCCTGCACGTGCGCACGTGCAGTAGCACCCTAACCGCAACACATGGGAATGCATTGCCTGGTGGTTGCCTACCTGTATGCCAAGTTTCAGCGAAATCGCCCCAGTAATTACCGAGTTACTGAAATGGGAACAAATTTGGCACCTCTTATTGTTGTATTTTGCACGTGCAGTGGGGGTCACTCACATAGATGAAGAGTTCCGACCTTTGGTAGAAGGGATGCAGCTACCCTACAAAAATTACCGCAAGTCAATCGCCCAAGCGGCTGCTGATATATGAACCTCTCAAAATCACTACTTTTGCAAAACAGCTTGAACACCCTTGACTTTTCACGTGGCACGTGCCACGACGGTCACTGAGATGTATCAAAAGTAGTCAATTACGGGGTAGAAGGGATGGGGCTACCCAACAAAAAAGACCGCAGGCCAATCGGTCCAGCGGTTGCTGAGATATAAGCCTCTCAAAAGCGTTACAGGCCGGGCCGGGCCGGGCCGGGCTGGGCCGGGCTGGGCCGGGCCGGGCCGGGCCGCTCATACTGAGATTTTTCCGTTATATTGAAAAGACTCACTTCGCTCGCTGCGCTCGCTCGCTCGTAATAATTTTAACCTTTTAAGGTTGTAAGGTTTGTTAAAAGTAGACGCTACTTGAAGTTTGAAGTATCTGTCATGCATCTGTAATACACGCATGAAGATAAATTCCCAGCGCATTTTACAGTACTTTACACCTAACTATTGAGCATTATGGGCCAGGGGAGCATCCATTTTTTCTTTAGCTTGTACCGGCGATGCTATTTTACTTCATACGATTCTTTTTAACGAGATTGACTATGTCAAGTGTACTGAAATCTCAGTGAATTAAACTGAGGTGGCAACTATGGTGCTGGCGTTATGTCCCATGTATACATTGAACGACATTGTGTTAGTGTTATTTACATAGATTTTCCGCGACATAAATACAAAGCAATTTCCTTCACACTCCAGCTCATCAGCGCCACTTTGCTACAAGCATAAGCTGCTTACCTTTCAGCGGCGGATACGCCGCCGAGGCGAGAAGGACCAAGCTCAGACCAGATAACTTAGGTCAGTCAGGGTCGTCGAAGACACTCGAGGTCAACAGCAGTCGACCTAGGTCGGCCAGTGGCCGCCTTGGCCCTCCGAGTCCACCCACACCCCGCGGCGCTGAGCTGCGGTCAGCTCCGCTCAGTTCCTGAGTCCTCACCCTGCGAGCAGGCCCGCTCGGTGTCACAACTCACACCCTCTCTCACACACTGGCGCTCAACTGAAGTCGGGGTACCCGCGGCCGCCGCTGCCGCCGCCGCCGCACCGCCCCGCCGCCTTCTGTGACGCGCTGCGGCGAGCCTCGGTGCGGCGGCGACAATCTTTCCTCGCCAGATTACCTGCTGGTATCAGGGGCGTATCACGATTTAAAGCTGGCCGATAGGGCGCCGTGCCGGGCGGGCGCCGCGACGTGCTCGTGAGGCCACCGAGCCGTGCCGTGAGGGGGCACCAGATGTTGGACAGGGTTCTCACGGGCGTAAACTACTACATACTGCAGCTGATGGTAGTCAGGGGAGGGCTGTAGTAGTGGACAGCCGGCAGTCTGTAGACGCATACTATTGCTGATTATGTAGGAACATATTTGTGGTGTGAGGTAATCGGTGGAGCCAACAAATACAAACATTTTCATAAAGTTATTTGTTGGCTCCACCGATAACCTCATACCACACACACACTTTTCTATAGACGGCTGTCAGCAGTACGTAGATAACAGTCTGAAGTGGATGGGTATCAATCTACAGTCTGATGACTACATGATGCACTGCGCAAACAGAACTGTACCGAAATAGCGCACGGTTGAGTCGCTGACGCCCAGGTTTACCATTTACGCATAGCCTACATGACCTGTACATTTTGTTAGATCAATCTTAAATGACATCGATTGAATGACAAAAAAGAGGGTGTTAGTTAGGTATATGTACCTAAACAAATATGCCTAAGCATCCGGGGGCATAGTTTCCTGTCGCAGTTTTACTGCATGCTGACATCGGACCATTTATTGTTAGCAGACTTAGCAGACTTAGCATATATGCGCTATTGCAGTATGGTATGACCCTTTTGCTGTCCTTTTCAGTATGGCTTCAGCCACACAGTCGACAGAGCCTCATTCAAATAATCTCTACCAGATTGTCACAACCCCGGCTAGATAGACATGAATATTGGTGTCATTTCCGAACAATATTGATCGATATATAAATCACAAGACAGTGGGCAATGTAAGGAATGTGAACAGGAGCATGACAGCGAATGTTGTATGCGTTATTGCTCCATGAAAACGTCATTTATGCTATTATGCCAATCGCTGTCAGGTAGTGCTCTGATTATGTGCCGTGCTATGACATGACTACGATATTGTTCCACCCGCCAATCGCCATGTTACATCAGAAGATCATTAACAAGAGTGCTGAATTTGATGGCACACAGTAGGTAATGACAGAGCCGGCGTGATGAAAATGAAGCCCTAGTTTTATAGCACTCCAAAGTCGAAGGTACAGTAACGTTAGTGAGCCTGTATTCAACTTATTCATAGGCATAAGTCAATGTTTTGTATCGGTGTGGGTAGACGGTATCGATAGCATCAGTGTGAGGTCGGTTCATCTGCTTTCATAGCCTGCGGTGGCTAGGGTATTTCGCCATCTGAGACTTCAGGGAAGAGATCTGGACACCTCCAGCCTACAACTATTTCTCTTTTATCTTTATCTCAAGCTATCTGGGCTCTAGGGAAAAAATATTTAAAAAATCTTAGGAACTTAGAGAGGTTGCCGGGAGCTCACATGCTGACACGGTACAGCTAACTATTCCTAGAAACAGAAAAGCATGTAATCAGCATTTTGCCTTTTTGTCGCAGCAAATGTCTTTCCAGAGCGCTGTAAAAGCTGTCGGGCAGCTGACACCACCAGTCACATTCCTATTGTGCGGCGCCTCGGGGCACCGCGACCCAGAGCGCTGCTCGGACAATCTCTCGGTGGCAGGGCGCGTCTCGGCGCCAATCAGGGCACCAATCGGCCGGCAGATACCGGTAAGCCGGATGAGATCAGCGCTAGCCGCCGGGGCCGACGATAGACAGTAGGCGGTGCCCCCATGACTGATATACGGCCTCAGAGGCCGGTGGTCGCAGGAAGCCGGTATCGGTCCGCTGAGATTACCAGACAAGGCCGACTGGGTGTGATATGCGTACAAAATTCACTTGCTTGACAGGCACCAAATATGAGGGTTATCAAAATGAGTGTATGGTTACCAAAAAAAAGGCTGAGTAGGCGGTACGCCTACTCAAGCTTTGCGCGATCAATAAACGTTCCACTGTTTTCGGCGTTTCTCAACGTGCATCTTCTACATTTGCTTTGGTGTGGGGTGCCAATTTCGGGGTGGCTGGTCAGCTGGCTTAAGCTTCCTTTGAAGGGGAAACAAAAAAATGTGCGGCCTTTATAGCGAAAAAAGATCAGTGGTCATTGAATTGAACCTTCGCTTTAGAGCTGACGGTAGCTTACGTTAGCCGCAGCAAATTGTGGAGGAAATGACGATTGATGCATTGTCTAACATGAATGCGAGTCATATTTGAGTAATTTGTCCCTCAATGAGCGAAAGATTTTGTTAGCATGCAGCATGCCGCTTGTGGGACACTAACCGTGTTTACATAGGGTTCCCTTAATCTTCCCCTATTTGTCTCTTAAATGTCCCTTATAAAGGAATCCTCTGTCTCCTTTACCTCGCTTCACTACAAATATGGCGCAACTAAGTCATTCTAGAAGCAGTTTGCAATTTTTACTTACCTTTAGGGCTCTCCCAAATAGCTTCCAGACTAGACACTGAGGTAAAAGTGATAGCACATGAAAGCTCAAAGCAAGAAATATCAGAAAACTATCTGGCATTTAACATACTTTAAACGGCTGAGCTATTATTCAAGTAGGTGTAATCACATCCACGGCAATATCAGAACACCGCACCTGTCGAATTTCTGCCTTGACTTTCTGCCGTTTATGCGTTAATGCCACTTAAAAATCCTCAGTCGGCGCACGTGCGCTTGTCGAGTCGGGGACCACCAGTCGGACGATTCGGAACTGCCGGCCAATCAGCACGCCGCTTTTGTGATGTGTTAGTTTGAGAACCACTGGATATGGTAGCGTAGCAGCTTTTGGAAAGGCGCTACGCTACCAAATCCTCCCCTATTTGTCGCTTAAAGAGGGAATTGAAGGGCAGGATAAAAATACTTCAAAATATGAATTGTTGAATTTCGAGTATTAAATAAGCCCAATTTATATTGTTTACAGCATAAACGATGCTTTGTATGCTTCTAACAACAATAGCGCCCATAGCAACGTTACACGCGATCGCTATGATGCCTAAAATTCGATCTGAAAATAGGGGAGAAATAGGGGAAGATTAAGGGAACCCTATGTAAACACGGCTACTGTCTGGAAGCTCTACCAAAAAGGAGCTGCGCTAGTTAATTAGCTTAAGACCTCAATCGCATCAGACAACTTGGTATTTGTTTTGTTTTGTTTTGTTGGGTTAGGCCCTTTCGGTCTGACAAGACCATTGCAGAGCCGGAAGGATGATAGGAATTAGGGGGAGACTTTGGTCTGGGCAGGCACCCTAGTGAGTCGCCGGGGCTGAGCCCGTCCAGAGGACAGGCCACCCAGCCCCAAGGCACTCACTGCACCCGGCTACGGGGTGCGCTCCCTCAGGAGCAGCGGTACCACTCCAAGGGAGCAGCCCGCATGAGATAAAGTTGCCTGTCCAGCCCGGAGGGGGGTTGCGGCGTGGAGGAGAAGGATTTCAGTATCCTGAGGATAGAAGCAGGGGCATTCCACGTCAAATCAAACACCGAAATCCGTCATCCCCTTCGATTTTTTCTGAAACTTTGTAGGCAGACTGGGCATGGTTCAAAACTGAGTTACGTATAATATTTTCGAAATTTGATAACGTATCGCTGAGATATAGGTCATCGAATATAGCAAAAAATGCCACACATCAATTTTTTAAATGGCTATAACTCTGGTTCCTTTTCTGGTATCAAAATGATATTAACAGGGTCTTATAGGCAATTGATAAGGCTTTGATTTTTAATTATAAAATTAAATTGAAGTGACCTTGAAATGCTTTTGACCTTGAATTAAAACAGCAAAATTTAAATAGCAAAAAACACGTCACCTTCGATTTTGGCTAATTTTTACATAGTGGCCGTTTTCACGACGGAATAGCAGGCATCTATTTGATACCGATTTAATCCTTTAGTTCCTCAGGAATTTTAGTAGTTCTTTTTAGTAGATTTCCCAGCTTTCGAATGAATGGTGCGTTAGTTTGCTATTTTTCTATTAAATATCACATCGATTTACTTTATCTAAGGCTTTATCACTAATATCAACATAAAGCGTAAGCACAATTATAAAATTATGAAAATATTAATTACTAGTACAATAGTTAAAAAAAGATACTGAGTTGCCACGCTACAAAGAATATATTCATTTATGGCGCACGACAGACATTTAGAAAGCAGCGCCCTGTTTTATTGCACGCTGCTAGCCGCTTCCATTGGGTTTTGCAGGCCGACGTCATTGGTTGTTTCACGTATGATGTCACGCGACTTGTGGCCTATCACGGTTCTTTATTGATCTCAACTAAGTGAATGCAACAATGGCCTCTGATCTCTGGCCATCTGTCTATGGAGCGACCAGTATGAAAGTTGGGTGAATTTACCGGGGTTACATGACTATGAGCAAGCAAATGTGTATCAGGAATGGATTTAGGTGGAGAATTGCGCTGGATCATGAGTGCTCGAGCGCTCCCAATTCCACGCCGGTTTGGCTTTGGAGCCGAGACAGACGATGCGGGTCAAGGTCACCGCTGGGGTAACGGTGGATTGGCTGCGCCCGAGCACCCGTAACGTGGCACAATTCTCCATCTATGGATTTTCCTATTCGCTCAGCATTGTGACAGGCGTTCGTAATAGCATTTACTCTGCTCATGTATCTATCCCCGGTTATTTAAAAGAAGTTTTTGTGGGGGGATATCACGGCTATAGGTACTCAGTGGCCCTATTCACGACTTTCAAAGAATGCTCTGATAACTAAATACCGCACAGACCTACTGCATTAGTGAATCTGACAAAAGGTCTGCGGAATTACATCCCCCTCACCACACCCCTAAAAACTCATCCAGTGTCCAAAACCACTTTTATCGACTCGCCAAAAAGAAAAGAAAACAAAGCATGGGGCATGTCAGCTCTCAGTTCATTTATCATTGTCTTTACCATGGTTCAATTGCATTGCGCGATTCAAAGCACGTGAGTGCCTAT